AAGTTCAAATTCAGTTTTAAGGCAAGGTATTTCAACTTCATTAAATGTGACATCTCTGCTCACAATGATTTTAACCCCCTTTTGGCTTATAGCCTACAACCTGTAACCCTTAATACCATTTGGGTAACATAGAAAAATACATTTCCTAATTTCAGGTTCAAGTTTTCCTTCACTCTAATGAGAACAAACAGCACAACCAAAAGTTCTAATCACAGAATAATCACTTAATTTACCTCACCATTTTTTCATGAGGAGTGTCACCATTCAATGCAACAGATGAAGTCAAATTAATTAGATAACAGACAGTTGTAACAGCTTCGCCCCAAAATGACTTTGGGACAGTAGAACTTAAGATCATACAACACAACTTGTCAAGAATAGTTCTATTCATCCTTTCAGCTACCCCGTTTTGTTGGGCAGCGTAAGGAATAATCTTATACCTTGTTAGTTCATTTTCTTTGCACATATTATCAAATTCAGTGTTGTAAAACTCTAGACCATTATCGGTTCTTGAAAATCTGATTCTTTTAGCAGTTTAGGTTTCAACCTATTTTTTTCAATTACTAAAACTGTGGAATGTATTGGACTTATCTTTTAAAAGATAAACTCACACTTTTCTCAAGAAATCATCTATAATAGATAAGAAATACCTATTCCCACCAAATATGGGATTACTAGCAGGACCCACAAATCTAAATACAAATATTCAAACATGTCTTTAATTTTATGAACACTCGTGGAGACGAAAGATTTATGATATTTATCAAGCACACAACGATCACAAAAAAGACAAATCAGACACATGATCATTTCCAAAAACACCATTTTCATTAATGAGTTTAAGACCCTTAATACATGTGTGTGCAAGTTTATTGGACCATTTATGTGTGTGATTTGCCTTGGCAAGGGAGATAAGAGGATCTAGACCTCTTATCAATTCTCCAGTGGTGACATAAATATCATTTTTCCTAGTTCCTTTAATCAAAAACCAGAGCACCCTTTACCAATTCTAAGGTTCCATTTCCAATTTTACTAGTGAACCCCGTCCGGTCAAAGATCGTTGGGAGTGTTTTTCTTCAACGAGAGGCCAGCCTTTTCAAGTATCCCTACCGAGATTGAGTTCCTAAACAATTCAGGGATGTACCTAACATCTTTTAAAGTATACACAAAATCAATGTCGAACTTTAATGTAATATCACCAATCCCAACAACAATATAAGTAGAGTTGTCACATAGCACAACACATCCATCATTTGATTCGTGCAAAGTTTCAAACCAATCTTTTTGTGATGTTACATGAAAAGATACATCATAATCAAGTATCCATTCATGCAAACAAGAATTGACAATTATGTTTAATTCGGCAGGATAAGCTACAGAACTAGTAATCTCAACGTTGGAAATGAAAGACTTTCACTTTATCTCTCTCTTTTCCCTTCAGCCTACATTTCTCTTTATAGCAGTCTTTTATAAAATATCCTGTGTGTCCACAGCCATAACATTTTCTAACTTTGGTTCTAGATTTTGATCTAGACCTATCATTGCATTGCCCTTCTTTTTATTTCCATTACTAATTGACTCGCTATTATCATGGGACCTGTTGTGACTGTTTTGCCTAAACTGAGTTCTATCCATTATCATGTAAATCTCACCGCCTTTTTTATCAGATTTTTCAGCTTTAATCTCCATCTCTTTTACTTTTAAGAAAGTCAACGACAATTCCAGGCGTCAAAGTATCCCTATTATACTTGATTGCATTTTTAACTTCCTTATAGGTATCAGGTATAGAATTAAGCAAAATTATAGCTTTATAGATTTCTGACACCATTTCTTCACAGTTAACTGAGTGTTCGACAAGTTTGTTAAAAATGTCTAAATTGTCATCAAAATTCTTTGAATGATTTATTTTAAAACGGAAAAAATGCTCTAGTAATTAAAGCTTGTCTGGAATAAATTTGAGCAAATACAGGTTTTCTAATTTTGTCCAAAGATTTTTTGTGATTTTCAGTTTTCCCACTTTTCTTAAAAAGAACGCCAAACAAGTATAAAATTATCGAAGTATAGACAAGGTCATCAACTTTCTCTTTTTGTTCTTTTGAATATTCAGCAAGAAAATTGCCTTTAATGACTTTTGAATCCTTTTGTTGTACCAAAATACCCCTCGTATTTTGTTGTCATATAGAAAAATCACATATTCCGTTAAAGATTTCTAAATTAAAATTGTGAATTGTCATTTTACAGATCAATCAAAAAATGCACAGATTCACAATCAAGCCACACAAAATAGTCTTAGGGTCACAAATAGTATATATATCGTTCTAGACTCCCAAGATTTCGTGAGATTTACAATTTCATATCAAAGAAATGTTCAAACAGGTAAGGTTTAGGCATTCTAACGTAATCAACTGGGTAACGACGAAATGTGTCAATAAACAAGGTAGTTTCAATCAAAGTAATTTTATGACAGAGTATATCACAGAGATAATAATTGAATTTTTTCGCAAAACAAAATACTACAATCGCATAAGAACATATAGTTCCTGATTTCTAACACAAGCAATGGTTACCCCACACAGTTACCCCAAACCTATTGCCATCTCACACGATGGCACACTAGTTCAAAAATTTAACCGGGATAAGCAAATTTACCAGAGTGGACAAGTCTGAAGTTCGTAAAATCGAGAGATGCGAATATGCTGTTTTAGGACCACTATTATTCGTCTTAAAGATTTATAAATATATATCAATGCAATTGGGTAATGATCGCAAATCAAGCGTCCATAGGCAAAATCGTCCAACTTTTCCTGCATAACTTGANACAACTCGTTCAGATCGACCTTCATACGCTTGCAGGAAGGGACACCTCTGCCCATAGAGTTCGAATATAGGTATAGTTTTTTTGGTCGGTCACTGGTTTGGCCGGAATTGAGGTTTTCATATTCGGCCCTTTTCGAAAAATCCCCAATTTCAGCCTTCTTTTGGTCGATTTCTGGACGAAGAAGCACAATATTACTCTGATACTAGATGTTGAGCGGAAGATGATGCCCACCAAGATTTGAACTAGGCTTAGTTTCTCCTCCAATAGACAGCTTAATCAAAATCAACCCAAAACCCTCAAAATGCCTCTTCACTTACGGTTGCTTCCCTTCACCCACTTAAGATGCACAAAAAATGGCCACAAAGGCAGTGGACAAAGAGAGCACAAAAAGGAACACAAGTTTCTCATGCTGAGAGAATAGAGAGGTAGAGAGAGACTGAAACCGTATGGAACAAGAGATGGGTGCCCTAGAATAAATAGTTAGAATTAGGTCACAGTAATGGGTCATGCCCAATTAAGGGTTTAAGTGGGAACTTGAGTGGGTTTCATCTATAAAGTGTCCAAATAAGTGGAGACGGGCTATGAGCAGCACTAATTAAAATTAGGCTGCTTCAAATTGCCCAAACAAATCGGGGTCAGGTCAATTTCATTTTGATGTCGATTTACCGTTTAGTCATTAGGTCAATACCGACTGAGAAAGTTACCGAGTTAACATCATAGTTCGAGGAGATCGTTTGACAATAATTTTTCTAACAGTAAAGAGTCAATAATCACAACCAAAAAAATAATCTAACGTTGCGTTGAACTTGCATACACTTTTGTTATTCTCTTTAACTTATCTCTACACAAAATTAAAATGGATGCTTCTTTCCTCCCTCCCTTTTGTGTTAAATAAAGGATTTATTGCCGAAGTTCAACCCCAATTTGTTTGTTTATTTCTTTCCCTTGAAGCACTTTTCTCTCTCTTGAGTAGGCATCTTCTTATTTCTTTCTAGTTGGCAGAGTATCTTCCTTTTCCCACTCTCTTATATAATTTAGTATGCTCAGGACAAATAAAAAATACAAAAATTAATTTGAGTTCACTGACTAATCAATTTATTAGTAAAAAAGTCTTAATATGCTATTAGAGTTCAGTAAGTTGAAACGAATAATTTGATCCATTTAAAGCTCAAACAAGCATTCCGATTTTAAGATTGAGTTATTCTCCTTGACAATGTCTATCTTTTAATATGAAATCCCAAGCTCTCTAACAGAGATAACAAAATAATCCACCCCGTCCTGAATGGGGCCAAAAAAACCCGCCCCGACGGGTTCTCGGGGGGGCGGGGCATTGAAGAAGATTAAACAAAATAAAAAATTGTTAGTTTGAGCATTGTTTGTTTTGGATTTTAAAATTTTGAATTTGTAGTTTATTCTCTAATAATAGCATAATTCGAAATTTTGAAAATGTAAATATATATATAAAATAAAATAAACAAATGGGCTAACGCCCCCGTCCTGAACACGCTCCACTACCATCTCTACTCTCTAATCACTGCTGATTCATGTCTTATTCTCTTTAATATTAAATTTGTGTTATTTAGTAAATACTAATTGTTCTGCTAGGGTCTCTTTCACTGGTCATGTGAATCTATACCTTCTAATCCTTTTCCATGGGAATAACTTTTTAGTCCAACATATGATGCTTATAGAGCTGGAATTTTCATAGCATTTCAAAGTTGGTCATTTTTATCAGAATATTATTATTCTAAAACGGTGTTTAGATGATAAGTATTTTGTCGTTTTTATCGGAATATTATTACTCTAAAAGGATGTTTGATAAGTATGATTTACCTTGAATAATTTTCAAGTTGAGGCTTTTCTTTACTCAGTTATGCATCTATTTTATTTTAGTTTATGCTGTAAAACTATAATATTAGAATAGTATAATGAGTTCACCTTGTCACTAACAGATTTATTTAAATTTCAGTCCAAAATTTTAACTAATTTATAGGCTCAGAGCAAATAAAAAACTCAAAAATTAATTTGAGTTTACAGTTCACTTGACAAGAACCAATTTAATCAAAAGTTCAAGTGCCACTGAATTATACAGTTCTATTACAGGAAAAGGAAGTAGACACTGGAATCTGATTCTCAACCTGAGGCATGGACGAAACTACAAAAGTTGTCAAACTTGGCATATAAAATAAATCAAGCGGTGCATAGAAGCTTGTATGTATTAAGCTTCTTTTGGCATTTCAGTTCTAAGAAATCAAGCAAAAATAAGAGATATGGCAACAAGGAATTTTAGGAAAGAGATATGCAGGCATTGTGGGTTGAAGTTGCTGGTGCCTTTTGAGGAACGAACCATACACTGTCCTTCGTGTGGTGGTATTACAATACTGCAAAGTCGCTTCAATGGTAATGTCCACTATCTACCGATTAACACGCAGGTTACAGGCTCAAATCAGGTGTCCCCTTCTCTTGCACATGGAAAGAAAAGAGCTGTTCTGTGCGGCATTACCTACAAGGGACATCAAAAGAGTCTCAAAGGTAGCGTTAATGATGTGTTAATCATGAGAGAACTTCTGATTAAGAGGTTGGGTTTTCCCAGTTCTTCCGTTCTGCTGCTCACAGGTATCAATCACTTTCTAATGAAATTTGAAACATATTCATATTTACTTGTGCAACAAATATGCACAGGAATTCGAAAGTCTTAAATAAATTGTAGTGCAGAAGAAGAGAGAGACCCATACAGGATTCCAACTAAGCACAATATCCGAGCATCCCTCCGTTGGCTTATTAAAGGTTGCAGGTCAGGAGACTCCTTGGTGTTTTACTACTCGGGCCATGGCTCTCGAGTAAGAGATCGTGATGGTGATGAAATTGATGGATATGATGAATCATTATTGCCCGTTGACTATGAGACTGAGGGAAGGATACTGGATGATGAGATCAATGCCACCATTGTGAGGCCGCTACCCCATGGAGCTACACTTCATGCCATCATTGACACCTGCTTCAGTGGAACCTTCTTAGATCTTCCACATGTGTGCAGTATAAACAGGTTAGAATATCAAAACTTTAATCATTTCACTATCAAAACTTGTAACCGAACACATCATTTCAGGGAAGGATACTATAAGTGGGACGACCATCGCGTATCCCACGCATATAAAGGTTCCAGTGGGGGATTTGCAATATGTATTAGCGCCTGTAAAGATCATCAAAATTCTGCAGATACTACGGTTAGTACCACAAACCTTTTGTTATCCTACATGGTGTGGGGATGTTCTTAATTAAAATCTAACACTACATATTAAAACCTAGAGACTGCTTATGACTATCCTGATGCAATGAAAATATCAAATGAGTTCCATTTAAATCTGAAATTTAATTTCTTCTATCGACAGGTGCAGTATTTTAATAGCTTGCCAATTTATATATTAACCGAACCACAACTAGTTCAACAGTATTGTAATGTAACATATGTCCTTATATGTTAGCTGATATAGCACACAATTTTCATGGATGGTCTCGTCCAACGAGGAAAATCTTAATTTTGATCTCTTAGGTAATTACGTAAGGATCTATACACCATAAGTGACAATTATTTGGATTTACTGTAGGCTTTCTCTGGTACAGCAACTGGTGCCCTAACTTACAGCTTTGTCAAAACCTTGGAACAAGAAACAGAATTAACTTATGGACGCCTACTGATTGCTATGATTGAGAGAATAAGAAAAGCACAAGAACAAGTAGGCTTGAAAGAGTCCCATGAATCACAGGTATACTTTTATTAGATTGTTATGGTTGTTTTTACATGTATGCAGCATCATTTCACATCTTACATAGCATGTTTTAGTTAGAGAAAGACTGGTAATAGTACAAAGCAAACATGTCTTCAAATCGACAAACTGAAGGAAGGAACAATCAGTGCACAATATCCTTTGTTTGTTTACTATTTGTAATACACTACTATCGTTATTTTTATTTTTATTTTTTTTAACTCGATATCAATTAAAGCTATCCCGTCAAAGGAAATTTTGGTAATGAGTTATTTGCTTGGTGTTTTGTAGGAACCTCAACTGTCTACTACTCAGATGTTTGACATTCACTCCAAGCTCTTTACTATATGAAGTGTATAGGCTGTCAATTTCCGTGGCTGATTTGTGACCACCAATAAGAATATCTGTCTTTACAAGCTTGGAGTTGTATACCCCCATTAATTTTGGCAAACTACGTACTATAAAGCTATCATAATCCTAGTGTCTGTGTGTTGATTGTAATTGGTCTTTTGCTGTTACCAGTATATTTCAATAATATCCCTTGGGCTTGCATAAGCTTAAGGATGTTCTCTCTTTCTTGTGCCTGTATACGTATTGTCACGTATTTTAGAAAGGAACAAAAAAATACTTAATTATTCCTCCACACAGCAAAAAAAGTTTACAGGAGAAGCTAGTTTTTGAATTAGTTTGCTGAAAAGCAAAAGATCAGTGGAACTAGACAAAGCATGTAATACCCCAATGAACAATGAATACAGAAATCAGATCCCTCTCTGAAATTCTAATTCGGTAGACAATGTTGGAAATTTGTATATGAAATTTGTTAGGAAAATGTGTAATTGGCAATCTGTGACCAAAGGACCTATTTGTCAAAATTGTAAAGTCAAAGACTAAATTGTACATGTCAAATAGTTCAGGGACTAAAGTTGCAATTTTGTAAAGGTCATAGCATAGGTCTAGGGTAAAGTGGGATGCTTTGAAGATGCAAACGGCGCGTTGATGTCGCTGGAGTTTCGCCCTGACCTTGCTAGAGCCAAAATTGCAGAACTGACCTTGCTGGAGTTTCGCTGGTCTATCGCCTGAGCGAAGGTACGTCGCTCGAGTTTCGCCAGGACCTCGCTCGAGCGACTGTGTTATCTGGCCTTTGGTAATTTTAATGCCTCGCGAATTTTTAACGCTCTATATTACCAAATTCGACCTACTATATAAACAAAACGATCGATTTTCATTAGTGACCTTTGACAAACATTAAAACAACAATTCCTCTCAACTTTCAAAGGATCAAGAACCAAAATAAATTCATCTTTTTCATCTTTGATTCTCATGGTTCTTTGAATAAAAACATCAACCCTCACAAAACCAAAACACCCTTTCATATCTCCATATAAACTTTCAGAAGATCATCTGTTTGAAGATCCGGGAAGGAAATTGCTTGAAGAACTGGAGTGCTTGGTGATTCACAGGAGGTAGAAGATATTCAAAGCTGGGATTTTGGCGTAGATTTGCAAAATCCAGGATAGCTGTGGTCGATACAGTAAGGAGGTCAGAATATTGTTAGAATCAATAATGTCTGACGTACTGTAAGTCAATATCTTCTATAGTGGATCTCTACTGGCTTGTGCCCGGAGTTTTTACCCAGTTGGGTTTTCTCCGTCAACATTTTGTTATGTTTTTACTGCTTTCTATTATTTATTTTTTAACCGGTAATTCAACTTAGGTAGATAAAGTATGTGAATGAATCTAGGCAATGCATAATTGATGTGACTTGTTGCATCAGTTAATTAATTGTTTTAATTTCGCATAAACACCTATTCACCCCCCTCTAGGTGTTGGTTGTGTCGAACTATTGCTTTTTCAAGTGGTATAAGAGCTAAATCTCGAGTCCTGACGCATAGTTGTCTAGATGAGTCAATCACTTTCTGTACCTTCGTATTTTGACGGAAGTAATTATGCCTATTGGAAGGTTAGAATGCGTGCGTTTCTTAAGTCTTTAGATGATCATGTTTGGGTAAGTGTGCAAAATGGTTGGAAACCTCCCTCTACTATCGTATCAGGAACTGTTAAACACCTATTCACCCCCCCTCTAGGTGTTGGTTGGGTCGAACTATTGCTTTTTCAAAATTGGTTTTGACCAATTCTTAATTGTTTAAGAGGAAATTGTTATTTGGTGAATAAAAAATTAAACCAAATTTAAATTACTTAAATACATGAATTATTGGAAAATTATGTAGAATATTATGGAATATTCTGAAAATTATTTGGTTGAAAAGGTGTCTTCCTATATAAAAGATTGTGACTTTTGGTATTATTATTTTTCAATGTCTTTCTTTAAATACAGAGATTAATTTCAATAGTTGTGTCTTTCGAGACAAATATTTTCAACATCTATATATAGACATCATGTGTTTGTTTTTATTCATTCATTCACTTCATGATTGCATTATCATACTAATGCATATTCACTTCAAAATTCTACATTTATTTGGAGTCAAGTTTTATATAAAGAGAGTTCAAAACATAAATATGTTTGTTTAGGGATGGCAAAAAAACCCCAACCTGCCCCGTGAATAAAAAAATTAAAAATAATTTTATTTCTGGACAATTCAATCGTTAAAAATTCATTTTGAATGTGTATTTTATTATCTAATAATAACATAATTCGAAACTTTGCAAATGTAAAAAAAATAAAAAAAATTTAAACGTGGCAACAAATGGGACAAAAAGTTTCCTCGTCTAAGGCGAAGTGGGGGCGCCCCACCCTGAATCCGCCCCGTTGCCATTATTAGGTTTGTTGGTCTACGTAATTTGGAGTGTTCTTATTACGAGATGTGGTCATTGTATCTTGGAAGACGAATGTCGAAAAATCGTTAGCACCCGTGCAGGGCATTATAATTTTAAGGACAAAGAATCGAACTCTTGCCTCAATCAAATTCATATGGATGCATTTCTCATTTCTAATTTACATATTCGATTTTTGTAAGTCAAAATTTTGTCCGATTTTATACACAAAAGTTATGTTATTTGAATATAATTTATGCACGTCTATTTTTCCAACAGACAAATTTGCATAAAAAGAAAAAGTTTCAAAAAAAAATGATGAAAATGCCCTTAAATTGATTGAAAACAGAAAAATGCTAAAATGGGCTCCTAAACGGCAAAAGTGCTAAAACGACAAAAATGTGCGGAGTCGAAAAACGCTTCTAGGTTATATTCGCTTGTGAAAATCTGACACCCAAACTAAAAGTTATACGCATTTTTATATATTCATCTTGTTTCTTCTCTTTTCCAATTGGTTAATGATTTTCTCTTCTAAGTGCACGAAATGAAGGATATGCCCAATACAATATCCAGTAACATTAATACAATGGTAGCTACCCCCTGGGGCACATCCCAACTGACAAAGGATGGAGTTTTTCAAGACGGGCAATTTAGAGGTCGCGGGTTCGATTTATGGGGCTCTTGGAAGGCAGGCTTTTCTCCTGGAAGGCAGGATATTTCCTGGAAGGCAGGAGTTTTACTGGAAGGCAAGGCGCATACATGGGTTTGACTCGCTCGGCACTTTGGCAGTTCAGTTGAGAGGGCTCTTGGACCCTGACCAATTTGGGACACAACCCGCGGTTTACCTGATCTGCGTGAAGAGGGGCTGGATCGTAGGCCCCTGGATTAGTCACTGTAAGACGGACACCTGGGTATCAAAAAAAAAATACAATGGTAGCTTGTCAGGGACATTAGGTAATGCTCATCATTCGCAGCCTTCCTTGCCATTTTCAATACACAGAACGAAGCAGCAGTGTCACGTGGAGTAAGCGACCATAGGCAAAAACTAAAGGGAACTGTCAATGATGTTAGGATGCTACAATTGTGAGACCACTGTCCCAAGGAACCAAACTTCATGCCTTCATTCATGCATGCCACAGTGGCACTGTTCTTGATATGCCATTTGCATACTGAATGAATAGATCAGTCCCAAACTAGCCATTTGCGATCGATCTTCATTTTTCGAGCAAGAAGGGTTACTATATTGTAGAAATTATTATGACTATGGAAGATAAATTGCCAATCTCTGATCTGAAAGGTTGATCTATCTTCAATATCAAGCAAATCACTATGGTCTACAGGGAAGGATACTATCTGTGGAAAGATCATGATAGCCAATCACCTATAAACAAAGGTACAAATGGTAGACTAGCTATGTCTATAAGTTCTTGTGATGATCATCAAGTTTTAGCAGATATTACAGTAACCACTCTCTCCTTTCTTCCAGTTAAATTACATTTTATCTTTCTAAAAACTATGGCCAAAGCCATATTGTTTTCTCATTTTTATATCACTAGTGAGGAGAACGTGTGTTGCACGTTAATTGCTGAATATTAAATATAAATGTATGGTGGTTGTTAAACGGATATGCATTCTTAAAGAAGTAGCCAATCTAGCAGCAATCAATTCCTTCCAAACTTACCATAGAAATATTAGTAATACAATTAAATAGGCGAAGATTTAACGTTGGGATTATATAAAAAGGGCTTCTCAAATACGAATTCTCCATCGAGATTTTCTGAGCCAATTTTAGAACCTTCAATTTGTTGACACATTCCACATCTGCCTATTCATTTCTAGACCATGTACCCTCCATCAAGTCAATTTGTTTGGTAAAATATAAATGAAAGGATATGAATTTTCTCGTGATTCCCTTCTTATGCTTCATTGCCAGAAAACAGTAACAAATTCCCTTTTAAAACACGCATAAGATTCAAGTAAGATAGAAGAACTGATTGTGATATTCTTCTAACTGTAAAATGTAATTATTCATAATATGCTAAGCTTGAATCTCAATTAATCACCTTCCTTTTCACTCTTTTTAATTCCAGTAGTAAACACATCACAAAGAAACATACTCTTCAAATACTGAACCATCAGCAATTGAATAATCCAACCTGTTAACGTCGTTAATGTAGCCTGGAACAGGCTTGTAAGAAGTTAAACCTTGAGCAATATTTCTTAACTTTCAAGTAGCTCCAACAATTTGATAGTAAAATCATGGCTCCCGTGAAATATCCCTTCTGCCTCTTCCATAATTGATGCAAGAGGATCCGAGTCGAGTGATGCTAATTTGTCATATAACATGACGATGATGCTGAGATACCATGAGATGGAGGATCGGCGCAAAGATGGGAAGTGAATCGCAATTATTTCCTTGGGAAATTTGACACGTCTTTGCTAATTTAGCTATAACTTTAGCTACGATTATCAGAATCGCTATTATGACCCCAATCTGAAAAGCTCTTTTTGGCGCCCACGTCGTGGACACCCAGCTATACTTGGTGGGCATCAATTTTGAGCCCAAAATCCATTGTTTTCCTTTTCGAAATTTAATTTTTAGTTATTTTTTGCTATTTATGATAATATTTCGTTTCCCTTTTTCCATATGTCAGAAAACTCGAATTGAGCTAAATTTTTGGCAACCTACTTCTTTTACTTAATATTTTATTCTGGTGAATTTCGAGATTTTACCTTTCTGGTAATTTTCCTATAATTTCGTATTTTGCAGCTATTTAACCCGATTTGTGGGTTAATTTTG